GAGACTATGCTTTGCACAGACTCGCAACCCTCATGTTGAGGACTGCTTTTTAAACGCTTCAACAGCGCGTCGAACTTTCGCAATCATAATCAGCCATCGATGAGATCAATGGCTGGACTACGGCACGGCGAAGTTCCTTGTGCTGCCACTTTGCCATACACACGCATGTCATCCATGGTGGTTAGTGAATTTCAGCCTCGACGTCATTTCTTTCAGTAGGGAAACAAGGCAGAGAATGGTAAAGAAAACGGCGACTTTCTGCAACTTAACAACTGCAGTCCAAAAGCATCGGTCATTATTCTCGTTTGGATCTTTATGGCAAAGTCTTCGAGAGGTCTTTATCCAGCATTGGATCGAGAATGGCTGATAATGACGCTTCATATTGAAACGTGACCTCTTGTGACAGCCGCAACCATGGCTTTTGTCGCTGAAAAATAAAGCCAAGGAGTTACGTCCATACAGTGAATAAGTGCGTAGTCACAATTCCTCTGGAGGCATAGCGTCAGCACCACATACGCGAGTTCGCCTGTGCACTCCAAAGTTGTCATCATACGCGTCCGACCGGCAAACCGCTGGCATAACATTTGAACACGATCACATTACTGATAACGAAGACTTCAAACCAAGCAGGCAGCAAGAAAAACCTTGTATCCTACTTCCACACACCCTACAGGAAGTGAGCCATTGAAAAACTACGCTACCGTGATTGCAGACAGTCGCTTTCTGCATCATTTCTGTGTGTGACGATCAGATGATGTGTACGCGAAAATCTCGTGGCCCGGCAGTAACCCGGCACGAGGGTCGAAAGCTTCTGTCTATTCCACAATACTGAGGTAAGTAGCATTTTACATAATTACTCTGTTCGTGACTTGGCGCCTCTACTTCTAGCGGCAATGGCTTCTGTGGTTCCTTAACAGCCTGCTTCCGCTTTCTTCGCATTCCAGCCAACGTTGGTATTAGTAATAAGCGTTCAGCCTGGGAAACAGCGACATTAATTAATGTTACATGTAATTCCAGCCCGAGGTCAACGGTCGGTTGCAATGCTTCTCTGCGCAATGTTCTGCAGCACCTGTTTCGTCTACTGATCACTAATGTCCTTGGCCAGTGTCTTTTGACTGTCTGCAAAGCGAACTGACACCGGGCCGTAACAACTCGCAAACGTTCGAACAGTTCGGTACATGGAGTGCGTCGCGCGTCTATTCAGAGCCCTTAAAGTCTACCAGAGACGTTCATCTGAAACAGGGGTACTCCTAACGGGTTTCGTGCTCCTAAAGCCTTGCGTCCAACAGGAAGTGGTTTCGCAGATAAATCGCATACTCAGCAAGGATCAGAAGCTTTCCTCAGGCCAATCGACAACTCAGATGACGTCATCACAATGGTAGCACCATTTGGGAACA